CGAGGTAGTAGGAGAGAGCGCCGAGATTGCTCATTCAAAAATAAGCCACCATCTCACGCTTGAAGCTATCGATGTCCTCCGCACGTGCGCCGGTGACGATCAAGTCATCCACATACACGCCGACGACAAGCTCCTCCTTCCAATGTCGCGCGTGTAGAGCGCGTGCACGGTTGCGCACCTTATGAACCCAAGCTCACCCAGCGTGGCATCAAGCTTGGCGTTCCACGCTCGCGGGGCCTGCCACAACCCATAGAGCACCTTGCGCAGTCGGAGCACCCTGTGCTCCGCTCCCTTGACGACGAAACCCGGAGGTTGCCTGACGAAGACCGTCTCCGCCAGCTCACCATTGAGGAAGGCTGATGTTACGTCCAGATGATGGACGCACCAGTCCTTCACTGTTGCCAAAGCCATCAGCAGTCGGATAGACTCTATGAGTGCTACCGACGCAAAGACTTCCTCAAAGTCGATGCACTCACACTGGACAAAGCCTTAGGTGACGAGGCGTGCCTTGTGCTTGACAACGGCGCCGCACTCGTCCCGCTTGACCTTATACACCAACTTTAGGCCAATTGGATGGCATCCTAGAGGTGGATCGATCAGCTCCCAAGTCTCATTTTCCTCGATCGCCTTCATCTCCTCCAGCATTGCCCGTTGCTAATTTTTATCACGCTCAGCCAGCGCGAACGTGGGTGGTTCCTCTGCACTGACGAGAAGTAGCTCTGGGTCATTGAGTAGCCGACCCGCTAGGCCTGAGGACCCTGCGCCACTGATGATGTCGTCCGTCCTGTGGAACCGCGCCTCCTCACTGTCGTGGAAGGCATCCACAAACTCGGTGATGTCGCTTGGAGGTGAGGCGAACTCGATCGGCATCGATGGAGTCCCCTGTTTCGACGAAGTGGTCGGCACAGCACCTGGAGTGCTCGGCACCCCGGCTGTAGTGCTTGGCACTACTCTTGGACCACTCGTCACCACTCCTAGAGTGGTTGGCACCACTACAGGAGTGCTCGGCACCAGTCTTGGAGCGGTCGGCACCACTGCAAGACCTCTTGGCTCCGCTACGGGAGCGTTCAGCACCCGTCCTAGAGTGGTCGGCACCACTGTAGGACCGCTCGGCACCACTCCTGGAGTGCTCGGCACCGCCTCAGGAGTGCTTGGCTCTGTTGCTGGACTGGTCAGCACCTCCTCTCCAGCGTCTCCACCACCGTGGATGACCAAGTGCTCGACGACGAAGGTGCTGGTGGTGAAGCCACCAGCTTCCCTCATGCTCAGACTGTCCCAGTCCCAGGCCGCCTTCTCGTCGAACATGACGTCGCGCGAGACAACCACCTTGCCTCTGCGTGGGTCGTAGAGCCGGTACGCCTTGGTGCCCTCCTTGTAGCCCAGGAGCACCATCGGTGTGCTCCTGTCTTCTAGCTTGCTAAGGTGAGGCTTGGTGTTCTTCACATGGCCGACGTAGCCAAATGTCCTAAGTAAGGACACATTCGGCTTGCGTCCATGCCAAGTCTCAAATGACGTCTTGCCCTTCAGGGCCTTGGTAGGCGCGCGGTTGAGGATGAACACCGTCGTGGTCACCGCCTCTCCCTAGAACTTCGCCGGCATGCTTTTGGCCTTCATCATGGATCGAGCCATGCCGACCACCATTTGGTTTCGCTGCTCCACCACACCATTCTGCTATGGCAAGTACGGCGTGGTGTGGTGTCGCACCACACCCTGATCTGTGCAGTATGCAACGAACTCCCCTAAAGTGAATTTGCCGCCGTGATCAGTCCGCAGCATGCGTAGCTTCTTACCGCTCTCCGCCTCCGCACGAGCCTTGAACTTCTTGACCACTTTCGCTGCCTCGGTCTTGCTGGTTAGAAGTTGCAGCCACATGAATCGGCTATAGTCATCCACCTACAAGATGAAGTACTTGCACCCGCCGTGCATCGCCGGCGTGATCAGCCCGCAGAGGTCACCATGGACCAGCTCGAGGGCCTCTGCCGCGCGATACTTCACCGTCTTCGAGAACGGTAGCCTTCTTTGCTTCCTGATCAGGCAGCTGTCACATAGCTCGCCTACGTGCTCGATATGAGGCATCCTAGTCACCATCTTCTCCAGTCGACCAAGAGCATCGAAGCTGAGATGGCCATATCGGGCATGCCACAGCCATGGCTCCTCCGTGTACCATGCAGCCAAGCAGATGGGTTGCTCCACCTTCAAGTCAAGCAGGTACAGCCGGTTCCATGACCTCTTCACCTTGGCAAGAAGCCATTGCTCCTGGTCCCTGATCCTGAGGACACCGTCCTTGATCAGTACCTCGCCGCCACGCTCATCCAGCTGGCCAATTCTGATGATGCTTGAATGCAGCTGCGGGATGTAATATACATCCATCAACGTGATGATGGTGCCGCACCCTCGGATCGCCACTCTTGAGCCATCACCGAACTTCACCATGTTGGTTATGTTGCCGTCGAGCTTAGAGAAGGCTTTCTTAAAGCCCATCATGTGGTTGCTGGCGCCGGAGTCTAGGTACCACCGCTGCTCCTGCTCGTCACCCACACGTCTGAGGTGGACTTGTGCATGTGGTTCGTCGAGGTTGACAGACTTCAGAGCCTTGCCGTGCCCTTCCACCGCCATCACCACTCCCTTCTCCTTGACCTCAACATCGTGCAGCGCACAGAACATCGCCATCAGGAGAGTGGCCTCATCATCCTCATCAGCCTGCGCTAAATGAGCCTCAGCCTTCTTCTCCTGCTTGTGATTTGGGCACTCCTTTGCCCAATGGCCTGTCTTCCCACAGCGCCAGCAGGCATTGCGGTCAACCTTCTTCTTCTTCTTCTCTAAAGAAGCCTTGCCGTGGCGCTTGCCATCGCCATCATGGCTGAAGGAGGCTTCCCCAGACTTCTTCTCCTTTATCTAGGTAGCCCACTCCTCCTCTATCAGCAGCAGCTTGCCGCTGTCCGTCGTTGCTATAGCCTGCTCCATGCGCTCGTCCACCACCCGCAGACGGCCTATCACATCCTCAATGGTGAGGGTGAACAAGTCCAGTATCGTCTATATGGAGAGAGCGATATGGATGTACTTCACCAGCACGGAGTGGAGGTACATGGAGGCCGTCTCTTCTTCGTCGATGGTGACACCGTGGCTCCTCAGCTTGCTGATGAGCGACTGCAGACAGAGGGAGAAGTCCTCCACCGACTCACCATCCTTGAACTTGAGGTTGACGTACTCCTACTTCAGCAGCTGGGCCGTCGCCTTCTTTGCGTGGTCGGAGAAGATGTGCATCGTTGTAATGGCCCCCACGTCTCCTTAGCAGAGTTCTTTGCTTCCAACGACTCCCTGTACTCCGTTGGCACAGCAGCGATGATAGCCTCCAACACTGACATGTCGTCTTCTTCGTTGTCGATGCCCTTTTCAATGGCATTCCAGAGCTTGACCTTCATGGTCACCGCCCACTCACCATAGTTGGTGCGAGTTAGCGTCGACCAACTGGTGCCGCTGACCTCCCACACCGTGCGCATGACAACCTCCTGTCGTGGCTGGGCAGCCACAACAGCGCCGCTGCTGTCGTCTATCTTCGAACCGTCCGTCATCGCTAGCGGTTAGTCCAACGACGGTGCTTGTACGGCTCCGATACCACTTGTTGGCCCCGAGATCTCCCGCATGGGTGAGCCGACCACTCACCAGTGTTTTCGTACACACACTACAGCTGAAGGTAGAAGAGTGAGGGAGAACAGAGCGCACACACACAGCACAAGCACCAGCGTTGGCCGAAGCTCTACATAGAAGATGACAAAACTGAACTGTCTTCACTGAGTTGCGGTGGGAAGCTATATATACAATTCTACCCATCTAATCCTAGTACACAGATATGCCATGATGTCATGCTGCTACAGTGACTAGATGTGACAACATGACTGACTTTGGCGCCTGCCCCTGCTGTGGCTACAGCGCGGCAGAGGAGCCTTTCAGCGCCTGCCCCTGCCGCTGCTACAGTGCAGCCGCAGGGGAGCCCTTTCGAGAGCAGCAGATTACTTTACATATATCTCATATAATTATATATAATGATTCGAGTTATGACTTGTACCTATACAAATTAGAGCAATTCGTGTGCAACAATGGTTTTAGTGATTCTAAAACATATTGGTTTTAGTGATGCAATTGCATCCCTAATTGAATTTCGTGCAACACACGTACATACACGTTTGCGGCTGTTCATTATTACTATTATTTTCTATAAACCTGGCTTAGTTTACAAGGAAAGATCTACTGCATTCTTTAAACTGAGAGTATTATTAGTAGCAAAGTACCCTTAGAGTATTAACTAGAAGCTCGTGTTGCTCCGACAAGGCGACAACGCTTAGATACTTGGATTAATCCATTGGGTATCTGTATGAACTAGAAGCTCGTGCTGCTCCCGTCGGTTCCGGATCCCTGATTTACGCCAAATTATAGATCGAGGTCACAAGCTCTTAACTATAGATCGAGGTCATACGCTCTTAGTTTTTGCTTGGAAGCAGGTCTGGAAGTCATAGAGCAGCAGAATACTTTTGGAAAAACTCTGGAAGCCATAGAGCAGATTCGACGCATTGGCCCCGTTCGGCTTACCTTATAATCCGCACTATTCAGCTTGTTTTTTCAGTTAGAACAGTGTTTTTCTCTCACAACAATTCAGCCAGAACAGTGTTTTTTAGTCAATTCAGCTAAGTTTTAGCAAGCCAAACGGGGCCATATATATGATGAAATTTACTATATTATGATAATAAATTATTTGAGAAACTATAATAGCAGGTAAACATAAAAAAGTTACCGGAGACAAAATTCTAATAACCGTGATAAAAGATGGATTCTCAGTTCCTCCTACAACAAAAAACCAAAGCCTTTTGTCCTCGAAAAAAGTTAGATCATCGTACTACTTTTCTTTTGGGCGAGAACCCAATTCAATATACATATGTCATCGGTCTTGTGCTTCCTTGCTTTGCCTTCTGAAGCATTGAAGTCGATCAGCAAGAATGCATGTTCTATGCTGAAGCCACCGATTGAGCATCTGACAATCCTGCAGCATGGTTATCTTTCTCGCCTGACCGTCGTTTCATCAACTTCTTCATGATTTCCTCCTCCTTCATATCGACAAACTTTACGATCTCTTTGCAGCTGCCAAGGCCTGACAGCCTCCGCTGTCTTTTGCCAGCACCATCAGCGCCAGCTGCATTGGGCTCGTCAACATCTTCAGAATTGGAGTACTGCTTGTACTGCCAGCAGACTTGAATGAAGAACATCACCAGAGCTAAGAGACAGATCAGGGCACAGATGAGGAAAAGGCCCCAGAAGCTTCCGAGGCCAAGCCTGGTTGCTCCCAGATTGCTCTCATCGTCGGTGGCGCAGCTCGGCTTTGTGAACCACTCGTCATGGATGCTCTGAAGCTTGCCACTCTCTGAAAGCTGAAGGATGGCGGTTGACATATCTGCAGCAAGGGGGGAGTCTTTCTGGAATGCCTGCAAAGAAAAAACAATGGACACATGCTTCCTTGGGATGCAATGTAACAGGACAAATGCCCAAATGAAAGCGAATGAAAGGCATATATAACAAATTACTAAAAAAAGAAGGCACAGAACAAGATAAAGGGCGATGAACATACAAATCCCCATCCTTCCCTTGTGAACTGCTGTCCCACAATCTTGAAGTTGCAGTAGTGTGACAGGAAGATATCGATATACGGCTTCTCGTCGATAATCGCAGCAACACCGCCATTTTTTGGTCCACGGGTAAGGGCATCAGCGTATTCCTGGATCGTGTTCAGTTGCACCAATCGAGACTCTGGAACGTTGAGGTTTATCATCAGGTATTTCTTGGTGAATTTTCCGGTCTGGTATCCAATAGGTAAAGAGCTTGATATGAGACTGTCAAGTCCTGTAATTCCTGTCGTGAGCTGTTGGACCGTCAGGATTGACGCCAAGCTGGCAGTGTAGCTTGAAGTGATGATCAACACGACGAACATCCATATGATCAGCACGAAACGCCCGAGCGCGGTTCCGGTGTTCTGCCCTGAAGGTGAGAGTTTTTTAGTCAAGAAATTTCTCCCCGTGCAGTGAAAAAAAAAATCATGGGGAAGTTGATGTCATTGAGGCATCTAGTAGTGGTCTTACTGTGTGAGAAGAACATTGTTGAGAAGCTGAACCTGAAAGAGAAGCACACAATGTATATATGGTTAACTCCTAAAGTTAGCAACTAAGCATTCAGAAAAGAACACAAATAGAAAAGGAGAAAATTGAATAAAGCTACAACCATTTTGACCCATATAATGGTACTGCCAGAATGAATTTTGACTAAAGCCAGGTATGGTAATAAACTAGGATAAAACACATCCTTAGATAGAGGCTCAGAAGCAACAGAGACGACGTACCAGAATATTGTTATGATTTGATTACGTGGAGGCCCTCGAAATTCCTCATTAGTCCGATGTTCGAGTAGCCACACCACAATTCCCACCAAAATGAAAAGAGCGCCTGTGACAAACCACACCTCCCATGTGAAAGGTTTAAGGAAAGCCCAGGCGCTTGAGCTTACATGTTTCACCGGCGCCACTATCACAAGCCCTGAATCAATGTAAGGCTGTGTGTACTCTGCAAGCCGTGTTCCATTTCTCACTATCGCAAAGTAGCCTACAGCTGCATCAAGTGTCTGAATGAAAATGAAACAAACAAATCAGAGGATTTTCAACAAATTAAAGCTAATGGTGAAATAAACTGGGATGACAAAGAATGAGGACATACATTGGAAGCAACCATCCCAACAATGCCGACGTAACTAGGGTTCTTTGTGCCATCCCCAATAGGTACAAACCGGTAAGGAACTGGGTAAGGGAGCAGTTTAATTGCTGACTTGACAACATCAATGCAGTAACCCCTCACAGTATCAGGGCTACTGCCTGACACCAATGTCTTGAAGCTTGGTTTAACTGGGACCCCAACTCTGAGAGGCTGGCCATTGTTTGGAAACACCCAGCCCCTAGGTATATCAGTTGAATCACCAGGCCATACCACATTCTTCAGCTGATAGGCACTGGATGCATTTGATGGCATCTGATACAAAATTTCAGGAGCAGCCACAGAAAGGCCTGAATAGTTGGACCAATAGCCGACTAAGCTGGCGCCGGAACGGCCAACATTGAGGATATCATAAGCTGGGCGTACCAAATTGCCGCCTGAATCAAATCGGACTGGACCTGTTAGACCTGTGAAGTTTGTGAGGAGAAGTTGCTGCAGCATCTGGTCACCACCATCCAATATCTTGAGAGTTGACAGACGCAAAGTGGTGCCGTTTGCATCATGCAGCCTTGGATCTGTTGAGAAGTTGATCTGTTGCCCAGCATTGAGAAATTGGTCGACAGAGCGAGCAACGGCCCAAACTGAGTCATAAGCATAGAAAGCATATGAGTTCAGTCCAGAAGTCATACTTCTGTTACGAGCCACAGTGTTCCATCTAGATATGATATGAACTTTTTCTTGGCATCAGAATCAGGAGTGTGCTGACGAAGAACAATTACTCCCTGAATATTACTTATGTATTTAGGATCTCTAGATGCGGGGGAGGAATCGAGGACAGCAGCTAGCCAATCAGTTACCATCCAGACATAGCCACTGGCCATCATCTGGAGCTTCTTAGCTGCAGAAAATACCCTCAAACCTGTGTCAGGATTGACATGCACAACCATGACCCTTGATTCCATCATGTTTGCTCTAAACAGTACATCACGGATCACATCTGTGTTTGAATTTGGAGGAATAGCCGCTTTATATGAAATCTGTGCCCTCTTCAATGCAAGCGCATCGCCGAGAGCCGAGACGCCACCTCGCCCATAATCGTCGTCGACATATATAGCAGTCACCCTTTTCCACTGATAGTAATCAACAATGCTAGCAACGGCATTCATTTGGAAGTAGTCGCTTGTGGTTGTCCTTAAGTAAGGATACTCTGATGCAGAAAGAGCTGGATCCGTTGCCGCAAATGATAGAAGAGGAACATGTAACTCATTGACAACTTGAGAGATGACATGGCCTATCCCAGAGGACTGTGGGCCAATCACAGCAACTACATTTTTCTCCATTAGCTCCAAAGCTGCAACCAAGTAAGGTTTCTATGAATCAGTTCATGCATGCACCATCAAAGTGAGTAGCGGTGAAAGTTGATAAACTGAAGTTAAATTCGGATGTCTTGCAATTGGATCCCAAGAAAAGATAACTTATTCTACTGGTAGCCAAGGTTCTCGGATTCTCTGAAAAAATCGGAGCACACCGAATTGGACGAAATTCGGAAATTTCGGACCGGTGTCCACTACAGATTTGAATGAAATTTGAGCAAATCTGAACAAAATTTCCCCAACCGGTTAGACATGGCAGTGGGCCTGGAGAGGGTGCATGCGGCGCCGGTGTGGAACGCTCAGGCGGCGGGGAGGGCGGCGACGACGCGGTGGTGGCAGCAGGGGGTGCAGATGGCAGTGACGACGCGGCAGAGTTGGTGACGGCGCGGCGGCGGGCGTCGAGGAGCGGCCATGGCACGGGGGCGGCGCCGAGGAGCGGCCATTGTTGACACTGAGCATGAATTGTTGACACTGAGCATGATGAAATTTGCCAGAATTGCACATCAAAACAGCTGGAGAACGAACCGCTTCTCTTTTTCGAAAACGCGTATTTAGCATTGATCAACAAATTGAACTTCCGTTGTACAACGTTTTCGACATCTCGAACTCGAAGTATTCACAATTCCCCTTCCCATGGCCAACACTCGTCATCGCACTAGAATATGTACAAAACCACCTCCACCATCAAACCAATCAGTGAACCAATTGGAAAGCGATTAGAGGCCTAACCATAGAATCTCCTAATCCTAATCCACGTCCTCTATCCTAATGTTCCACGGCTCCTCCCTCTCCGGCTCCTGCTGCGCCTGCGCCTCCCCTCGCTCGCCTCCGAGCACGAGGTAGCTGACCACGACCGCTGCCCTGGGCCTCCGCCTCTCCTCGCCGCCGCCCTCCGCCGCCGCCGCGGCGTTGTCCTCCTCCTTGGCCGGCGGCAGCTCGCGGCGGCACACGGGGCAGTTGCCGTGCACGCCGAGCCACCGCTCCAGGCAGCCCCCGTGGAAGCGGTGCCCGCATGGCATCTCCTTGCCGGCGTCCTCCACCCCGTCCAGGCAGATGGTGCACTCGCCGAGCTCGCCCCCGCCCTCGATCTCCCCGGCCTTCACCTCCTTCAGCGCGGCGATCGCGGCCTTCGACGCCGGCGGCACGCCGCCGCCGACCCCGCCCGAGAACAGATCCCCGTCGCCGTCGAGGATGACGTGCTGGACCACCACCAGGCCGGGCCCCCCGCTACCGCCGCCGACCCGCTGCAATGCCGAGGTGGGCGCCGTCGCCGCCAGCCCCATCAGCAGCCGCAGGATGCCCGCCGCCGCGCGGTCTTCGTCGTTCGCCGAGGCCATCGGAGGAGGAGGTCGATCGAGCACGAGAGGGAGGGAGGGTGGAACCGTGAAAGAATCGAAAGAATATGGGTGTGTTTTTTGGTGTGATTTTTCGGTGGCTTGAATTGGCGGCTATATATGATTAGGGGAGGCTAGTGCGGTGAAGGTTCTGGAAGGTTCCCGAGCTGGCTCCTCGTTTCTCTGATCTGTGGGCCCTAAACCAGGCGGGGCGCCGTCGGGCGGTTGGACACGGCTGTGAAATCCAAGTTGGGGAAGCTTTACGAGAAATCTGTCAAGGTAGGAGGTAGCTGACCTGTTTCCGTTGGGTTCGGTTAAGGAGCGCGTGGTGGAGGTGTTGCCGAAGGTTCCAGAGCCCAGATATTTTCGTCGGCTGCTGGTTCACTGACATGGGGGTCCACGCCCGGTGCGACGGCGGTCAAAGCATCTACACTCCGCTGGAAGGCCGTGGAGAGGTGGAGAACGGGAGAGACGGATAGGGACAGCCGACATGCAGGTCCATAGCATGGAGTGGCGGTTATCTGATGGG